AGGTTTTGTCCACCTGTTTTCTCAGGAATCTTGCTGTGGCTGATGATAGATTCTTCTTTCGTCCACGACCTGGCTGTGTGGCCACAGTACCGGTTGCCTTGAACTTGCGAATAATGGTATCTGGGAACATTTAAGAGCTTGTATAGCCTCTTATATCTATTTCCTTTATTGTGTAATGCCACTATATCCTATTTAAACCTCTGGGACAACTCTCTTGCTTTCACCATTTTGCCAGCAAGAGGCATGTGAGCAGTAATGACACAAAGTGTGTAATACTACACATTTGGTGGAAAATTACAGGATAATACAAATATTATGGACATGCACATCTTCCCTCATTGCATTACTAGTGTTTTTGGACGTGGCATGTTAGTTGTGATTCTCCATAATCAACCCTAGCTGATGAGTTGTATAGGGGTTGAATAATTTTGCCACCTACTTTTTGTGTTAAAGTTGCCATTTCAGATGGACTATGAAATAATATTGACTTTTTCTCTGATATTTAATTGTTATTAACTATCTGTTAATCACTTACATGAGTTAGGGATGTTCTACAGTTGTAATTTTCCTTATTTTGGCAAAATTCCCCAAAATACAAGAGGGGTTGAATAATTTTGCATGCAACTGTATATCCCTGTGCTTTAGCCTGCTGATTGCTTGGTTGATCACTTCTTCAGGGTTCCACTTTCGGCCTGTTTTCTGTCTCCTATAAGCTGCCTTGACAGCGTTGTCCTTTGACCACATCAGCTCTAAGGTCATTCGCACCTTGTCCAACTTGTATTCTTCTGTAACAGAGTTGATTGGTAGAGTCAGCCAGCTAAGGCGATCCTTGATAAACACCGCGGTACTCCCAGACATTTTCTTATAAAAGAGTTGGTTTTTGCTTCAATCTGATCGGCTGTCGTCAATGGGATCTCATACATCTTCATCGGCCACTTTAGTCTAGGTAACAAGACGCTCTGCAAGCACCACACCTTCAGCTTCCCCGGAAGTTCACACCTGTCTATTGCCTCTAGGCCTTCCACCGCTTGCTTTCTCAACTCCTGACTTCGTTTGGCGTCGTCTATGTCGTCGTCATCTCCACGTCTCCTTTCAGCCCTTGATCTAGAATCTGGCATAAGTCATCGTCTAACTTCTCCCATTCCTCCCTACTATTGGCTTTTGGCCACTTTATTCTCTCTCTCCTCTCTGGGGCTGGCTCTTCTTGACGATGGGGAGCTGCCCCCGCTATCTCTTCCTGCAGAGTGACCGACTCAACTGTGGGTTCCGCCACTGGTTGCTCTCTGACTAGATGTTCTGCCACCGAGGGAGTACTGGCACTGACGTGGCTCTGAGCTTCACTAGTGAGGCCTTGGGTTCTATAGGTGTATACCTGCCCCATGTCCTCTTCCGTCTGACCAGCTGACGCTGTGCGGTTGTGTTGCCTCTTGCCCTGGCAGTTCGTTCTTCCCTGGTGTATACGCAGGCCCCTAAAGGTGGTGGCTTTCTTCCAACCGCAACTGCAAGTCCTCATCACCACATCTCTGTTGTCGATTGCCGGTTGCAGGCCACTAAGGACCCTGGTCGTTACCGTTTTGCTCCGTCCTTGTGGGTTTCATCTTCCATCCCCGCTCTCGCAGAACCCTGGGGTTGTTTCTCTCTTTGTTGACTTGTAGTAATCAGGTGGGTGACCGTTGAATAGGCCTGGCAAGTAGGGATACGACCCCTTTGCCCCCGATGCGTGTCTCTCCACGCTGTCTCTGGTCTTCCCCAGATGTTGTGTGCGACGTCATTTCGGATCAACCAATGAGAGTGCCGCTGACGGAGCGTACTCAACATATTTCTCTGCTTTCCGAGTGAATTTGGACCGTTCTCGTAGATAGACCTTTAGTCAAATTACTACATGCTACACACAGGGCATGTTACTGCACAGGGATCATTTAGAATTCGCTCGAAAAGGACAGAAATATGTGAGTCAGCGGCGTCCGCCATCTTGAAACTCAAGGAAAGCCGGGTCCAAGTCACGTGATTTAACGTCATTAGTAAAATTCCACTGTATTCCGTAAAATTGCACTGTATTCTAATAAAGGACGATAACAAAGGACGACGGGAGTGATTGCGAAATATGTCAGTATTTCTAGTGTCGTAGTGTCATTTTCAGCTGGGAGATATTGTGAGGGAACACATTAGTTGTCATGTTTTTTTACTGTCCCGTCCAACTGACAAGCAAGCAAAGCAGGGATGTTTAATATCCATATAACCTCCTTGAGCAACGTTGTTAATTTAAAATCATGTGTAACGTTCCTTGTCTGTCTACGAACCAGTCAGTGATGACGATAGATGCATATGAAGGTTTTTATAGAAACTGAAGTAGCAATATTCACTCACTCACTCAGTCCTCTTGCACGATGTGCGTCGAGCCTACTAGGCGGGCCACCTCCCTCCATCTCGGCCTGTCCTGGGCGAGCCCCTGCGCTACTTCGGGGGTGATGTTGGCCAGGGCCAGGTCCTTGGCCAGGACGTCCGTCCAGCGGGTGCGGGGGACCCCCCGAGGTCTCTTCCACCCAGCGGACTGGGGGCTGAAGTTCAGAATAGCCCGTGTAGGGTGGTCGGGTGGGAGTCGTAGGACATGTCCGTACCAGCGGACTCGGCGCATCGCTGCCACACGGGAAGCAGGAGGCTGCTGGGTCCTTTGCCTGAGCTCGGTGCCAGGCAGGTGGTCGAACCAGCGTACTCCCAGAATCCTCCTGAGACATCTGCTGTCGAAGCCGTTGAGTCTAGCTGCCAGCGTGTTGCTGAGTGGCCAGGTCTCAGCTTCGTACAGGATTGAGACCACCGCGACATAGACACGAAGCTTTGTGCCTAGCGAGATATGTCTGTGCTTCCAGAGCGGTCTCCAGAGCGCCTGCATAGCCGCTGCTGCTAGTCCACGCCGCCGGTCAATCTCGGGTTTCAGATCACCTGTCCTGGAGACTGTAGACCCGAGGTAGTTGAAGGTGGACACAAAGTTTACTGTGGTGTTGTTAAAGCTGAAAAACCATTACCATAGTATGTTTAAAACAGACTTTACGTATACAAGTGCTCAGGGAGCCCAAAATCTAATAATTTCCAGATTTAACGCCACCACATCCACCCACCAAATATCATTCCAATAGATTCCATTCAAACCTTCTTGACTGATGCTGTTCACATGCATCCAAAAAGAAGGCAAAGACAGACAAAAAGGGCAAACGAACGGACAAACGCTACTGAAAACATAACCTCCCTGACGGAGGTACTAACTTTCGACCTGATCTTTATATTACTATTGTGTTACTTATAATCGTACGTTGGTCCGTGCGCAGAATTGCGTCGCCGTATTTAATAAATAAAGTACGCCACTTCAACGCCTGTGCAAATCATTTCGTCGTCAGAGCGGACTATTGTCACAGGCGTCACATACGTTTGAGCAGATGACGTAATTTCCATCGCGTGTTCATCGCTGAGAATTTTATCTCTGTATAATCTGTGTGTTGGAATAAATTTCAACGTTTTACTATAAGGCCACACCAATTTAATTTCTTGGTTAACGGATTTTTTTAGAAAAATAATGGAGCGGGCGGGCGAAAGAAAAATAAAAACAGGCCTAGGCATCCTATTATGGCCCAAAATGGTACGATAGGAGCCATGAAGTCAACACACCAGGCTGGTTCAAAATTTAAACAATGAATTTTAAACTTTTAATGATACCATCGGATTGAAAGATGGAATAACTGTAACAACAAGGATGAAAAGGACTGTTTTAAACTGTTCAGGGCAAAATATGAGCATTTTGCACTTGATTCTGAATTTTTATTTTTATTTACAAATCAGAAAAAAATGAAGCGGGCGAATCCGTTAACCAAGAAATTAAATTGGTGTGGCCTAATATTCATGTTCTTTACATGTAGACCCGTCGGACGGAGACATGGGAGAATGCAGCGCTGCAGCGCCAGATGGTGGGGAGGGCGTGTTTCTGAAGGCGATCGGATGGGTGTTGGTAGTTGGGTTAGGACTTGTCCTTGTTGTCGTAGTCGTCAGCGTTTTGCTGTCCATCTGGTGCCGTCAAGACAGGCAGCCATATGACCCCGTCAGCGCAGGCGAGTTAACAGCGCGAACCTAAGCACTTTTTGGCATAAAGCGATCTTTGAGGCAGATGTTGTGGTAAACATTGAATAGTTTTCTGATGGCCGGGTAACGGGTGTTGGCTGCCACCACATAGTCCTTCAATCGCTCAATCCGATATCCGAATTCGTCCATGGGATGGAGCAAATTATATATGTATAGGGCAAATATTATGCTGCATTCTCATGGAAGGTTTTAGGTGAAAAATTTACAAAATATTTCTTTAACCTACAAATGCTTCCAAGTTTGTTCTGGGGGGACCTAATTCACCTAAACAGCGGTCTGATATATGGGAATTTGAGCTTTTGTTCTAGAGCCTTTGTAGGGCAATCCCGAGATCATGAACATGATTTGAAAAATGAATTCAAATGATTTGAAAAATAAAATTACCAGGGGGAAATGGAATTTTGGTCGACGATTTTCATGGAATAGTTTTTGATATAATAAAACAGCCCAAAATAAATTTTCAAAAAATTGAATTAATGCAAAATGTTGGCTATTAGAGTAAGGACTAAAGAAAACTGTTAGTTATTAGAGTGAGGGCGAATAAAAATGTTAGGCTATTGGAGTAAGAGCTAATGAAAATGATGTTTTTTAGAGTAACTACGTAAGGGCTAATTAAAAATGTTGCTATTAGACTAAGGCCACACCAAGTAAATTTTATGGATGACGTCCTTTGGAGACCCTAAATCTAATGCGAGAGGGCGAAAAAAAAACAAGAAGGGTCCAAAAAAACAAGATGCCTAGATTAGAAATATACTAAGAGACGACAAATGTTAGGACACAAATTGAATGAGGTGACACAGTGTAACAAGTAAGAAGTCTTTTATTCAACATCAAACAGCAATAAATCAGATGGAACAGCAGTTGTCGTCCTGTCCTGTTTCTTTCACATTTTTGCAGGCCTGCAGGAACAAAGCATAAAAGGCCAAATTAGTTGCTGATTAACCCTTTGTCATGCATTACTACATTTCTTACCTGTGCAAAATAAGTCTATAGGAGCGTAGATAATTAATAAAATAAAAGGAATGTGGACTATTGTTCTAGCTTAAACAAGTATTGAACAGAGTGTCAAAGGTACATGTATGTACATGTATAGTACAAAGGTACACATGGACCCACCTGACACTGTTCTCTCACTAGTCTCAGTTGTCATCTTCTTCTGTCTCCTCCCTTCTCCTCTTCATCTTCCTCTTCCCTCTTGTTCTCTCAGTCACCCCAAGGCTCTGGCACACCTACAGAATAACACAACAGGAGTAATGAATTTACAGGAGTAATGAATTATCCTTCTTATAGATTGTGTTCTTAGACCTTTAAAAGTTGGTCAACATGGGCAAATCTAACTTTAAACAGTTTGAGAGAGAAAGAATATCAATAAAGGTGGAACAAAACAAAATATGTTTAGAGCTTGTACAATGTATTTTACATGTACATAAGCTGCTTGTAATGTATTTCAGTTGGTAACAAATGTATGCCTACCTGACAAACAGGATTTATTGACTGGTATGCAGCCGTCTTCTCTGCTGGTATGGGCAGCGTTTCCTCCTCACCGCAGTTCCAGCACACCAAAGGCAGCATCGTCTTCATCACCCCTGACTTCAGTCTGGCTGAATAGTAGTACTGTGCTACTGGTGAAGTGCATGTCACTGCCCTACATGAAACAGGTGGAAAAAATATGGAACAATAGTCAATTGTGCTAAAATCCAACTCTTCAGAAAAAACTAATTTTTTTTCAACATAAAGATTTATGTTATATGTTGTAGTTAAATGTACGTCTTTACTGTCCCCAAAGTGCCTTAAATTTAAAGCGTATATTCTACAACAATCCATATCAAATGTACCTCATTACTCACCTGTTTACAAAACAGATGTCATGTAGTGGGTGTGTCTCAGTGATCCAGGCCACTCCACAAGTGTACATCGATTCTTCTTTCAGACCATCTAGCTGGGTCTTCTGTTTTGTTGTCAAAGCTTTCAAGCTGTGAATCGTTCTTGGTCTTCGACAGTCCAGACACATCACGATGCCTCTTGTGTTCTCTGCCGATGGATTGAAAGGCATTCCATGACCAGTGGTTCTTGATGCATTCAGGCTTGGCCTGTGGTTTTCTGAGGTGTCCGTTCCATACACCTCATGAAACTGCTTGAAGTGTTCACCACTTGCATCTATCACAGGATCAGGGAAGTTCTTGAGTCTGCTGAACATTTCAGGAGGAAGTCGTGGTTTTTTGCAGTACTTGCATGCACTGTTTCCACATTTCTTTATTGAAAAGAAATAGTGCCTGGAAATGCAGCAATGCTGCATGAAGCCAGCAAGGTCCTTCTTAGCTTGCATCTTGACTTTTGTTGTGTCTTCTTTCGTAACTGTTTGGTCGATCAGTAGGATGAGATTCCACATTTCCTCAACTTCATCATCTGTGGCAGGGTCAACTGTGGAAAAAGGCTCACCCTTTAGACACAGGCGTTGGAACAGTTCATTGAGCATGGCGCGAACCTTTTCTGTGCTGGCAACCACAGCCTCCTTGAATGCAGGGTATTTCTGTGACAGTGCTCTTGCATCTTTCATGCTGTTTACACCCTCCATGAGCTTCTCCATCTCTGGTGGCAACTTTTCACGCATAATCCCAACAGCCTGCAGGGAGAGGTTGATGATACTCATGATTCTTTCTACTGGGTTTCGAAAACTGTTCTGGGGAGCTGTCCTAGCACAGACAAGCATGTCCAAGTCGAGTATCACAAACATACAGATCAGCGACACTTGAACACTCATATAAGTCACTCTATGATCAGGGCCTCCATCACTGTACTGTAACAGGATTGGTAGGCCAAGCTTTCCAGCCTGGTTCAGCACATCGTATAGCTCCGTCTGATGTCTGATCGGAGATGAGGACTGGAAAGTGGCGTCCTTAAGAGCGATGAAAACTTTGCCACGATAGAAGGAGTCATCTGCACTTTCTGGGACATCAGACACAAGGATAACACTGGGTGTCAACTTCAGCTTGGTGAAATCATGGTCTGCAACTGCAAATGTTGTATTCTTTGCCACTAGTACAGATTTCCCACGATCCACTGCAGCGACAGGGAAACCTGGTTCACCTACTTTGATGGCATGTTTGTCATCAAGAAAAACGACAGAACATGATTGCCTGAACATGACAGCAAACTCTCTGAAGTACCGGAATACCGCAGCTGCATAGTGGCAATCTGGATGATCATGGTTCAACTGCCTACTCTGCACCATGTATTTCACTCCAAGTCTTCCGGTGTAGCGGATTGCTTTGTCAACAAATGCGTTTTTGGGCCAGAACTGCAGGCTGACCCACGTTGAAGATGGTACCTTTGCTCCTTCTGGAAGCCTCTTGAAAACCTGATTGATGAAGTCTGGGACAGACAGTGCGAGAGCCATGTGGCAAACTTGACCATGCCTTCTGTCGTCCACTGTTGCTAGCTGCATCTCTTCTATGAACTTTGTTGCTTCATCCCAAAACTCTGCGTACATCTCGTGTCGTCCCTCATTTCTTGATCTCATGTCAACAATTAGATCTACATCCTGTGCATCTAACATGATCTTTAGTCTTTGTCTGATCTCCTTGCCTGAGATGCACTCCTCTGTTGCATCATCATTAGTCAGAAATTGGTACATCTCCTTCAAAATGACTGGCTTTGCATTTGTAACCAATGAGAACCTATCTCTGAACTGTTTCCGCATTTCCCTTGTGTGGTATGTGGGCATGTCTTTCTCAGCCTGATGCATCATTTTCCTGGTGTTGTTTAAGTCTCTCATCTCTTGTGATGGAACCTTCCAGGCAAAATGCAGACATCCAAGGTTGTTCCCCAGCTTATAAGTGTAAAGTTCTATGCTCATGGGTAGCTCCAGTTCACTGATGTAATAGTACCTTTGTTTGCGGTCCGAGGGGGCAAAGTCATTCACAATGCAGAGTTCATACTCTGCAATGCTAGCAAGGTGGTTCTCCAGCTTGGTGTACCTGTTGATCAACTTTTCATTACTTCGTACTCTGGCTTCAATCACACGGAGTTCAGTACTGGTTCCATCATCCACTGATCTAGTTGGGAAGACCTGTTTCCTCTGCTCTTGCACTTTCTGGTTGGAAGCCTGCAGATGTTCACTGTACTTGCTTAGTCCCTGTCCTATCTCAACCACTATGTCTTTCACACTTTTCAACTTGGGCTGTTGCAGCAAAGGTAGGGTGGCAACTTTGAACAGTTCTTGTGCATGCATTTCCAGGTCTCTACATGACATTGGAGTAAGAGTGTGTCGATGAAGTGTAGGATTGTTGTACACCTGTGCAAAAGTGTTCTTGTCATACAGGGATCTCAGTGCTTTGGGGAGATAGATGGAGCGGTCAGCAAGTTTCTTCAAATGTGGCAGCATGTACCAAACTGAATTCCTAATGGAAGTCATGATTTCCTTGCTTGATGCTTCATAAGCTTTGGTCCGTACAAACCTATTTTGGGGACACAAAAAAAAGCTTAGTATACTGAAAACCAAGGTCGTAAATGCATACTTTTACCCACAATTATGTACTCTGGATCCAACAGAAAAACCCTCAATGAATATCTGTAAATCTTAAAATCTTTAGTTATAAAAAGGAAAAATCTACTGTGTATAGTAACAAGTGAACTCACCTGAAACCCTGTCCCTTCAACACATCAATGATGTCATTGTATAGACGGATGTCTCCCCTAGTGTTGTTATTGCTACATTGTTGTGTGCTCCCAGTCCCAGCATAGGCTGGAAACATCCACTCCTGCTGACCTTGTTCTCTTGATGCTTTCATCATTACCTGTATACATGTGCATGTGAAAGGAAAAGTAAACCTTTTGTTCCTAGTTCACAATAAATGTGTCTTAATGCAATCAAAGAAATTGAAGAGCTGACAACGTTACTAAATTGGATATCAAAGCTAAAATGATGGGGAAAAAGAATTCTTAAGAAAGACTAAAAAATCCCCCCTCAAAAAAAATAGTACTGCAAAAAGAGCGTTGAGCTTGAATGCGTAGTTTGTTTATAGCTATAGATGCAAATATACCCTAAATAATACCCTAAATATCCGACTGAAAATTAGCAATTTACGTGCCAAATGTGGACCAAAAATTAAAAAAAAAACACACATATTTTGCCAACATCAAGTATAAATAACCAGAAACGAATAAACGATCATTCTCCATGCAAAATACATGCAAGCACGATGCAAGGAGCCTTGATACATTTATGCATTTATTTTATACTCCCCTTCTAGGAATATTTCACCCGTGTTTTTTTTTTTTTTTTCGTACAAGGTACCCGATTCAAAACAGACTTTTCTTACCTCAAAAGCAGTCTTAGGCCTAGGAACACCTTCAGTCGTAGCAGCTGTCTTGTCGATCACCATACGGATGAAACACCCGAACTGCTTGGTTGCCTGCCCCACCTGTAAGCCGGAGTAAACCTCAATGCCTCTCCCGACCTTCTCGTCATTACAGAAGAATTGCACTGTTGCTGATCTTGACAAAACTTGCTTGAAATTGTGTGGTCGAAACTCACTCGCCGCTACAAGTCTCTCGTACAGTTGCGCGAAAGTTAGCTCTCCCTGGCCGACATCGAGCGCGTACCAGTCAACAACAACGTTTCCGCACGCTTGTACGACCTTAATGCTCACATACTTGGCGACCAAGGGTGGTGAGCCCACATACTCTGTAGAACACGACGCCATCTTTCCTCTTTTTAAACTGTGGCGCCCGGACTCTTGTGCGCACGTACACCATCGTTTTGCGGCCATGTGCTCTTTATGGGTTTCACGTCAATCTGACGATTTGCGGCACTGTCGTGAACCCCTTTGGTCATAGTTACAGGAAGCGGAATTTCTTGTTTTTTTTTTCTAGGAACAGGCCAAAATCAATGCGCGCGCGGACGTCATCCATAAAATTTACTTGGTGTGGCCTAAGGGCTAATAAAAATGTTGGCTATTACAGTAAGGGCTAATGGAAAATGTTGGCTATTAGAGTAAGAGCTAATTAAAAATGTTGGCTATTAGTTCTAGTCGTTATCTGTTCTAGTCGTTATTTGTGCTGCGTGTGTGCTCGGCAGATGTGTGTGCGTGTGTGCTTGGTAGAGGCAAGAATTTTAGTACAGTGAGAAAGGGAGGCGCCCTTGACTAAAATGGTACATGCCACTGACGTAACGTGGTTAACCGTGGTTAAATTTCAAGAATTATGTACATTTATAACCATCCAATAGATAACGACATTTAGGAGATTGAGTTGAATCTACATGATGGACATACAGCGTGTTGGAACATTAAACCTTCATATTGTGTGTACAACTGTCTTCGTACTGTAACTTGGTAGGTGCAAAGATCAAAACACGAAAACGTGTTCCTTTCATTCAAAGTAAACACACTTGCTGGAGATTTTTTAAAGACATAACCTTACCTTACCTTACCTTACTTGGGGCCCCTTGGCCCCGTGCGGAGCTATAGGCCACCGACGATTTCCCTCCATCTAGCTCTGTTCTTGGCTTCTCTCTCAACATCCTTCCAGCGCATTCCCAGTTCAGACAGCTCCTTCTCCGTGTCTCGCCTCCAGGAGTTTCTGGGACGGCCCCTCCTTCTTTTCCCTCTGGGGTTTCAGGACAGAGCCTGCCTGGTGGTGCTGTCAGCTGGCTTTCTGACGGTGTGCCCTATCCAGCTCCACTTCCTTCTCAGGATCTGTATGGCAACTGGTTCCTGTCCTGCCCTACTCCACAGTTCTTCATTTCGGATCTTCTCCGGCCATCTGATGTTGTATATGCGTCTGAGGCAGTTGCTAATGAACGTCTGTATCCTGTGTTGTGTTGACTTGTTCATTATCCATGCCTCTGCCCCGTACAGCAAGACTGACTTGACGTTGGAGTTGAAAATGCGTACCTTTGTGTCCATGTGGATTTCCCTGGAGGCCCAGATGTTCTTCAGCATGACTAATAATGTGTGTCTGCAGTAGGTAATTGTCTAGTATAGTTAGAAGCAATTATATTTAAATCAATAGTTGATGTAGATTTTTAGTACCACACTTTTTGGATAATACCACACTTGTTTTTCACTATGGTGATATAGACTCAGAAAATGAAGGGCTCTCTTTGGCTGAGGGATAGTAGCCATGTTCTACTACAAATATAAGACAGGAAATAAGAATCTGCCTGAAGTTTTGGACAAAATGGCCAAACCCTTTTTAGGGGGTGGAAACTGGCTAATTGTCATTGATACGGCTGAAAGTCATAATTCGTCCGCTTATATCGTTTGCTGCATTCTATTCTAATCTACAGTCATACTGGACAGTAATGTTCATTTTGTTGTCATACTAAACAGTTCTTTGCAATTACTTAACCCTACCTAGACCGGGCTTTTTTTGACATGGGGGGACGGGGGGGGGGCTCTTTTGACCCCCCCTAAGAACTCGCGAACGGTATGTCGTATGACCACCAAATTTTCAGAGAATGGTGTACTAGTAAAGATTTATCATATCTACAATTTTTATGTCGTTATGATGTAATATGACGTCATTATGACGTCATTAATGTGATTTTTTTGGCCAAAACCGTCTAAATAGGTTTTTCCCTGAAAACTAAATGGTATTCAACGTAACTGTACCAAAAGTGTTTGTGACAGAATATGATGGTGTACTAAGCCTTATGTTGCCCATAGCAACACCGGTGACGTCATAAAATGACGTCATGCATATTTAAGATATCCGCCATCTTGGATCATCAATCTTGAATTTTCAAAAATAGTTTTTTTTCATGATAAAGCCTAAAATACATCGTAAACATACTAAAGACCTTAATTTAAACCTTTTTTGGAAAAAGAAATGGAAGTATTGATGCAATTTTAATGAAAATAACCTGTATATACCTGTTCTAATTATATGGTCCGCCATGTTGGATTTTGGCCAATGACGTCATCAAATTAGCATAAATTATGCATATTTAATGATAAAATTTACATAAAATTATATGGGGTGTTATTAATATTAGAAACCATTAGTAACTTGACATAAACATAAACTTCTATTGTTGAAACAAAAAGTACTAAATTTAGCAAAAAATGCCTGTCAGAAACCCGTTGCCATGGCAACACAAAAATTATTATCTTATTCCAATGATAGAGAATTGTTGCCAACAATATTCTAGGAAAAGTCACCAAGTTTGGCCGTTCTACGGCTAGCCGTTCAGACACTAGGTGACATCAAAGTTGCCGCGGGCACTTTTAGCCCCCCCCCCCCCGGTCTACGGTAGGGTTAAGCTTGTGATAATGCTGGAAAGTATGCTGTTTTGTTTATGTTCATTATGTGGGAGAACAAAGGTCCACGGTAAAGTTACCTTACAAAAGCATTTACAAAAACACCGACATTCTTGGGTTACACCATGTCAAAGAATGCAGGTCATAGTTGATGTATGTGTCCCTGACTGCTTTGTCTGCTGTAATGTTGACATTAAAAAGCTACTGCTGGCCCTAAGGGCACGAATTCTCGCTTTTCAATAAGGCACATCCATGGGATATGGATCATA